CTCATTCCTATTTTATCAGGAAGATACGCTGTGACTCTTTCCAATTTTATCAGGAAGATACACTGTGACTCTTTCCAATTTTATCAGGAAGATGCACTGGGACTCTTTCCAATTTTATCAGGAAGATGCGCTGCGACTCTTTCCCGTTTTATCAGGAAGATACACTGTGACTCATTCCTATTTTATCAGGAAGATACGCTGTGACTCTTTCCAATTTTATCAGGAAGATACACTGTGACTTTTTCCAATTTTATCAGGAAGATGCGCTGCGACTCTTCCCTATCTTATCAGGAAGATACGCTGTGACTCCCCCCCTAACAGTAAATTTTAGTTTTTTTATATGTTTGATGAATTTTGCACAAAGCTACTCGAGGGCTATCTGTGCTAGCCATTCCTAACTTAGAAGGGATGGAGTAAAAGAAAGGCAAAAATCACCCATTGCCATGGGATTGATCGTCATATTATAACGTCCCCACGACTTAAAGGGCGAAAGTGATCGGTGGCGAGATTCGAACCCGCAATTCGCAGATTGCGAGTCGAACGCCCTAATCACCAGGTCACACAAGACACTGAGATATTGTCTGGTACAGGTTAAAACGCCGAATCTTTGCTATAAAAATATTTTCAAATTCAATCATCTTTTTCATTGTTCTTTCTATTTATTATCAGCTCGTGTAGAATATTTTTTGAAACTTTGTAACGATAAATATAAAAATTCACCACGAGAGGGAGATACGTAGTTTAGAATTATGATGCAACGTTTCAAAGCAGTTTCTGTAGTTCACGTGTAGTTATGAATACAGATAATTTTTAAAAATAGTAATATAATGTGGTTGTTGTTAAGAGATTTTGCAAAAATTAATATAGGATACTCAATGGGTTATCTTTGCTGTGCCACCTGGTTTTTAGCGTTATAAGCCTTCAGACTTGCCGATGAACCACTAGATGGGGACTCTAGTAAGAAGGAATTTTGTTAATATTTACATTTCCTGTGTTGTTATTTTTGCGCAGTAGAAATTTTCCAGGAGTTAAACGCAGAAAAAAAAGCACTCATGCTTGAAAGAAGAAAAAAATTAGAAAATTTCCATCAAATTTGTGCGTGTGTACTGTTAAGCATAATGGGCTATATTCGCTGCGCCCATCGGAGAGAAGGAACCTCAAAGTTTAACCTCACCGCTGAGCCATCGGGTAGCATGCCATCAGAATTAACCTAGTAACACAATACGTTACCAGGGTGTAACGAGGATGGTTACAACCAGGTAAAATGTAGAAAACGAGGAAAAACAGAAGTTTATATACACTAATTTACTAAATAGATGCCCCCAGTGGCACAACGGTATGTCTGCGGACTTACAACGCTAGAAACCGGGTTTCGATACCCGTGGTGGGCAGAGCACAGATAGCCCTTGTGTAGCTTTGTGCATAATGAAAAACAAACAAACAAACAAACTAAATAGATACGTATGCCACCTGGTGACAAAACGACGTACTAAAACTAATTCTAAGATCGTTAGACTTAGTTATAAAAAAGTTTTCGTAATATTTAAATTTTTATAACGTTTTCATTTCGTGTATACACTAAAAGTTTTTCTAAGTCTGCTTAGAAATAAATTAAAATCATACACAAGAAAAAAGGTCAAGTATCTATGAGTTACTATAAATACTTTGTTCAATACAAATATGTCTGTTGTATCCCAGTCGGCATGATGAACCCTAGTATTGGACGAAAGACCTCGTCAGCAGTAGATATAGCGTGCTTGACGTATTTCTAGATTTTTCTTCTTTAGTTCCACTTTTTAAGTTCTTAAAGTTAGTAATGTAGTGGCCCCCCAGTGGCACAGCGGTATGTCTGCGGACTTACAACGCTAAAATCCGGGTTTCGATACCCATGGTGGGCAGAGTACAGATTGCACATTGTTCAGTTGTGTGCTTAATTACAAACAAACTAATGTAGTCTTCTTCCGTTGACGCGGTGGTCGTTTGACTCTCTCTGGTGGCAAAAGGACTAGCTTACTATTCCCCTGTTCTCCTGAGTTTAATTCAAGCAAAAGGAACAACAGTAAAAACAAACAATTCGGTGTCGAAATAAATAAATAAATAATGTGATGTTAATAAAAATTCACAAATCAAATTCTAATTTCTAATCAGGATTTTGAAAACGGGGAGGCGCAATGATTCTTCGGGACTTCTCCGGTAGGGGTTAAATGAGTTATTTATTTAGATTTGCTGTAATGTTTACTAGACTTTGTTATTATTATTTTTAAATTTAATATGAAATTTCACTACATTCTTCCCTCCTCAAAGATCCAATTTTTGCCCTTATTTTGATTTTATTTTCAAAACTAGGGGGCGCGCCAGGCCTGTATCCGTCCTTGGTAATGACTTAAATATAATTGATAAAAATTACAGTTCATTAACTAGTTCGCGCTGAAACAGTTTTTGTTGAATTTATTAAGTAGCATCTCGACCACTATTACTTCTGTTGTAGTCTGGTCGGTCTGACGAATCCTAGTATTGGTCGAAAGGCCTCGTTGGCACTGGATGTAGTAGATACGTTGTGGTTCATGTATTATCACAGTATTTATTACTTTTTTTTTCTGAACCCATTCTTCCTTAATTTTTCGTTAATAAATAGACTAATAGAAAATGTAACAAAATTAAAAAAATAATAATAAACATATTTTTTCCTAAAGAAAACCACGCTTAAAAATTGTGAAATCGTGAGAAAGGTGACCTTTATTCAGGGTCGGCGTGTTTGATCGTTCAGTTTACATCCTTTGCCCCTCACTTTGTGGCAGATTCCTACGCCCCCGGTGGCTTAGCGGTAAATCAGTTTGTTTATAACGTTAAAAATCAGGTTTCGATGCCCGTGGTGGGAAGAGCACAGATAACCTCTAGTGTAGCTTTGTGACTTAATAGTTTCGGTGTGATCTATATTAAAGTAGCAGTGGAATGGAATGTAACACAACAGTATTGTGAAGTTTTTTAAATAGTGTAATGCCACCAAAAATTCATCACTTTTGGGAAGAGTATGTAACAGTCTTTTCCGATGCAAAACATTCATACACTCAAATCATAAAGATGTGTTCGGATCGGGAATTTAGAATTTCCCTTGTACTTAATGGCATTGGAAAACAAAAGAATATGAACCATTTTGAGGCATCAAAACCATCCATAAAAGGACTTGCAAAAAGTCATACCCCAAGCTATTAAAAGCAAAGTGTGGCATCTTGTAACAGGTAAGAACCCAAAGCCATCCACGTGCCCCAAGCAACAGTAGGAAACATAATCAAGAAGGACTTCTGTCTGGAAACGACGCCAACAGGATATGGGTTCACCAAAATACAACTTCAAAACTGTAAATCATGCCTCTCATTCAACTATCTCATACCTCAATCAGGTGGAGTATTAAACGGGTATTCATGCTATTCCACACTAAAACATACCGATCAAGTTGTGGCTATCACGTTTTGCGTAATCAAACTATTGAAACGGGCGTTGAAAACTATCATTTTTGTAAACTAGATGGATTATATAAAGCATGCAGCGTGGATTGGCGTACTTGGAACATGACAGTCTCACAACGGAATATTTTGTAGTAGAGATTACACTGCAGGACTATTGTCAAGGTGCTTGAGCTTACGAGATAAGTCTTGTTTGTTGGAAGTTAAGCACAAAGCTACAGAATGGGCTATCTGTGCTCTGCCCATCACGGATATCGAAACCAAATTTATAGCGTTGTATTTCTGCGGACATACTGTTGTGCCACTGGGGGCCGAGATGACTCTCCATAATCGTTATAATATGGCGTACTCAGTCTTATATCAAACAAATAACTAATTTCTACGCGAATCGCAGAAATAATTAAGAAGGCAGATTAGATTGTAAAGATAAAAAACTATCCGAAAAAAACTCGAATAAAACGACCCGTAAAAAATAATAATACAGCATGTAAAGTCCAAATTTAGATAATAGCTAAGAAGAATTATGAATAAAATTATTGTTTGTGAACTAGACGCTCCTTTAGGGGTCGTCCCTATATTTATTTGTTTGTCTTGAGATTATTTGAAGCGTTTAAATTAAACAAACAAATTGAGTTTTGTTTAGGCTTAGTATCAATTAAACAGGATTTCCAAGACAACTTTCTGGTTGTTTTTTATACAAAACTGATCCGCCCGTATGAAAAAGAAAAAAAAGAAAGAAAGAAGAGAAATAAGTGTATTTAAGAAGTGATTCGTGTTGTTGAGACAGTTCGTTGTCATTTATTTACAACTGTAAGCGATTCTTTAAAGTTACTACATCCGCAAGTAGTTCTTCATTTATTAGCGGAGTAAAAATATCGTCGTTTTTATGCTGCGTTAGCACAAGGCACTTGTATCATTGTTCTATAAAATATAGTTACAGGTTTGATTCCCTGCAGCGGACAACTCGCAGACTTACGCTAAAACAAATAAATACTAAATTAATCTCCACCTAGCTAGTCATGGCAGCTTTTGTACTTTAAATTATGGTTAAAACAAGATAGTTCTTAGTTTGACAATGATCCACCAGGTGCACACAATAAGAATCGTTTTTAAGCCTAACGAAATGCTTCATCAGGCAGAAAAGTTGTGAAAATGAACGTACTGACCGATGTCAGAGCATGGGCATTTATTCAGCCATTAGTACTGCCCATTTCGCACTGACCGGTGCTAAAGTATGGATATATATATTTTCTGTTGTATGCACGCGATATTTTTGCCGTTTCGTACTAAATATCGACTGCGGGTCGCGGGTTCGAATCCCGTCACACCGAACATATTCTCCCTTTCAGCTGTAGGGGCGTTGTAATGTAACTATCAATCTCATTATTCTTTGGTAAAAGTGTAGTACAAGAGTTGGCGGTGGGTAGTGTTGACTAGCTACCTTCCCTCTACACTGCTAAATAAGGAACGGCTAGCGCAGATAGCCCTCGTGTAGCTTTACCTGAAATTCACAACATACAAACCAGTTACACGATATTTGTTATCATTACACAATACAAGGATTATTTTATTACACTTGAGTTACTGTTTAACTTTACAAGCCAAGTCTTGCACCTGAAGGTCTCGGACTCGTTTTCCAGCAAGATTAGGAGGTTCGTTGCACGTGACAGGCCAGGCCATTCCACTAGCATCAATTACTTTTTCTCTCCAATCAGGTAATATCCAAGCCAGGCGACAGTCACAGGTCAGGGGTAAACCTAAAAAAAAAGACATTATTTTTCATTTATTCGTATATTTTTGTGACATAAGTTTATAAAATAAAATTATTGAACTTGTTAATAATGGCGGTTTGACTTTCTTCATTACAGTATTTTACTCAGAATAAATACCTAAAAAAAATATTCGGTATTTTAAAATAACTTACAAAAAGCTACACGCAGTTTAGAAGAGCGATTTTTATATGCTAACAATAATCTTTTGCCTCAAGAAGTTTCAAATAGTGAGATTTTTAAAGGATTTGGAACTAAATCACACGATGTTCAGCTGATGGAAGCACTGAATGTTGTTCAAGGAACTCGCCAAAGCAAAAGGCTGTGGTTACGAAAGGGAACCCTCTGACCCATAAAGCCATTGTAATATTGCTGAGAACAGTTTCGGGTAACTTTTAATAATATAATAAAATAAAGTTTTAAAATTTACAAAAGCCGACAAGTTTCCAGCTACAACTCGAAATCAATGGATGTTTTCATGAAGAAGAAAAATATATTTTCTCTGCAAATGGAATTACAGCAGTCTTATTCAGGCACACAGATATCACATTCCTCTATTCAGCGTTGAAGCTTACAAATTTTAATTAAAAAAACAACAACACATATATCACCAAAAAATCACAGCGACCTCTATAAAAGTGCGAATATTTTCGGAATTAATAAATAAGTTTCAGTACTCTGTGATATCTTATTTAATTCTTATGCACATAACATTCAAATCAAGCTTTTTAATTTTCGCATAAATATCTTTTAATTCATTCACCTACCAATTACAATAAGTCTATCAAGTGACGTGAGATTGGAGAAAATACATCTACCAATTACAATAAGTCTATCAAGTGACGTGAGATTGGAGAAAATACACCTACCAATTACAATAAGTCTATCAAGTGACGTGAAGATTGGAAAAAATACACCTACCAATTACAATAAGTCTATCAAGTGACGTGAAGATTGGAGAAAATACACCTACCAATCACAATAAGTCTATCAAGTGACGTGAGGATTGTAGAAAATACACCTACCAATCACAATAAGTCTATCAAGCGACGTAAAGATCGGTTTGAAGGTTTCTTCGATTAACACGGATATTTGATTGATGGAAATATCCAGCATCTTGAGCTTAAACATGTCTGTAAACAGATCTCCTGGAAGATAACTTAATCGGTTTCGGCTGAGAGAAGAAAAAAAAGAAGAAAAAACAGACAACGTGTATTAAAAGAACAATTAAATTTTTTTTTAAACTAAAGCATCAACTATTATTATCTTATACTAATAATAAATGAATAAAATATTCACAAAAATTAAGCAAAATATGATACTAATGCTTATTAATCTCAAAGTTTCGAACGGATCAGAAGGTCGTTAAACCTAAATTGATTAAACATTTGATAAGTAAAATTCTCCAGAAAAAAAGGCCTCACTATATGTTGTTGATGCCAAAAGAAGTATTTAGTTTCATTCAAAATTCAACTTTCAAAGTGAAATAAAACATTAGAATACGAATAACTTACGTCGTACATGTTAGAAATGATGTAAAACATGAATGGTATACTTACTTCAAATCAATATTCTCCAGTTCTGGCGCTGGTCTTGGAAAGTTGGAACGTTTAATTTCTGTTAAGGAATTTCTTTCAAAGTTTACGTTTACCAAAGACGAAAACTGGCCCAAAGGTATTTCACCCACACTCTTCAGACCAGCAACTGACACAACTAGTGAGTTCATGTTAGAGCCTGAAAACGCTGTGTAAAACCCGGGACTTAACTCTGAAAATTCGGATATGTTGGAAAAGAAAGTCGTGGATACTTCTGGTCCAAAGTCCACGGCTGAAAAAGCTGACCAGTCAAAACTACTTCCTAAATCAGTCCATTGCATATAAACAGAAAACTCGTTCTTAACTGATAATCCGTCGAAAGCTGATAAACCTGAAGATGTTTCACCTAAGTATTCAAGTTTCGTGTGTATTAAACTCAAACTGAATCTTTCCACAGAACCAAATCCACCAAAGAAACGGTGTGGCAAAGAAAATATTTCTCCAGAAACTATACTAAAGTGGATTGTTGGACAAGACCGAAACTGTTCATACACGAGAAACGACGTATTATTATCGAGACCTTTGCATGAATAGAAACAAGTATCAATGTTTTCACTACAAGAACAAGGGTAAATATTTTCTAGAGGAGGACACTTCGCCTCGACTGATACCCCCAGCAACAACGACGTCACAATGGTCATTAAAAGTGACCAGTCCTTTGGTTTCCCTGACATTCCTGTAAGATAAAAGTATTTAAATAACGAATGGTTTTTATACAGTATCTTAATAATGCTTCACATGTCTTATATCATATACTCATAGACAATTGTAAACACAGAAATACTTGTACAACAAATTACAGCAATAAAAACGGAAATGACGTTATAACGTTAATAAAAAACACTTCACCTGAAAATATAAACTAATCCAATAGAAATTAAAACGTTTCTAGTGCCATAAAAAAACCCACAACCGAACGTTTTTCTTTCTGTTACTCGTTTTCGTGCTCTTCGTTTTATGAAGCTTTTGGTTTTAAAAAGATTCAGGTAACTACTGATAACGGAACACGTGTTAATTCTCAGCGTTATCTGTGTACCTTTAAACAGATGGTTTTCAATATATGATATTTGTTACTATGGTAATCGAAGCTGCTGAACAGAAGGAGTTATCATCTGATTCACAGTTTTCGCAGAAGTGTTAAGACCGGAAGTGTACTGGCCCAGGCGCAACCACTAGTAACATTTTTGAGGGATGTCCCCTATATATACTTTGAATGCGGATCCAAAAATGAGATTTAGTTCTGTTAATTACAGTTGTTTTAAGCACAGATAGCCCATCGTGTAGGTTTGGGCTTAACAAGAAACAAACTTTACGTGGTGTTGTTAAGCCCAAATTTACACGATGGGCTATCTGTGCTGTGCCCACCACGGTTATCGAATCCTCGTTTTGAGCGTTATAAGCCTACAGACCCTCTACTGAGATACTGGGGAGGGAGGGGCTTTGTTCTCTATTTACAAATAAAAATATGTCACACATCAACACAGACTAGTAATGGCTTTTACTTTATCTTTGTTGTTTTAGTGTTTTTTTTTTCTTTATTAGGTGGTATGATGAAGAAATGGTCTAGTAAATTTTATAGCTCCATTTTTTAAAGATTCGGAAGGAAATTAAAATTTCGTATTACGAGTAAATTAGGATGATCAAGTTCACATCTAAGCTATATGGCTCTAAAATTCGGGGTTCAATCCATGCGGTGTGTAGAAAGCCTATATTATTAGCTTTGTGCTTACAAGTTATAAGCATAACGCAGTGATATTTTTTTTTGGGGGGGGGGATCTATTGAAAGATAACTGAACTTCCAAGTATTTTTTCTTCATTTTTTTCTCCATCTATTGAGAGATAACTTCAGATAAAGGAGCAGTAATGGGAGCGTATAAAAACTCATTGTCCAGAACATGGAAAGAACTAGGAGTAAGGTCGACAAGAGAGGTAATGGTCGAGTTCACGACTGGTAGTAGTGTCACTGTAATCAAGAATATGATGTTCCGATTCCTGAAAATTCTGGTCATGGAAAGCAGCAAAATGATTGGCCTTGTCCAAAAATGTAAAAGGTGCAATACCACTGAGAAGAATAGGATAGGAAGGAGAGCAGTGCTGACCTGTAAGGAGCTTAAAATGATTCCAGAATTGTGATGAAGAAGATGAATGACTGAGATCGGTACAAGCCAGACACCACCGACTATATCAAACTGCCCAAACAAAGTTACGGGCAGTACATTGGAAAGCCATAGATTATTTCAGCAACCAAGGAAGAGTGGTGTAACAGTTCTACAGCTGTCCGAGGTAAGGCTAGCTTATGGGGAGCTGAAGAGGAAGTGAGTATGTGTGAGGTACTGGTATCAGAGATGAGAGTGGGGAAGAAAGTGGATAACGAGTCAATATCTTCAAGCATAGTAAGAGGTCAGTCCTTGTTTGGTGTGAAGCACAGGATTCCCAGTTGGGAAATTAAAAGTTGAAATGAGTCCATTGGGAAGCATGGGTAACATACAGGGATAGCAAATGGACACAAATTTCGATGGGGAGATGATCACTAACAACAGGAGAACACATGTGGAGAGTGATAAGAGGAGCCAGATTGGGAGAAGAAAAGATGACACAGGGTGAGGATTAAGAAACTGGACGACTAGGGGCAGGCAAGGGCAGCAAAGAACCAGAAAGAGAGCATAAGGAGGCTTGAAAATGAGCAACTGTGGTAATTGACATTGGTAACAATGATATAGCTGCAGAAGGATTTGTCCAGAAAAGACAGAAAGACGTGAGGCAAAGGAACCCTGGGATGAATGTAGATCGTTGCAAAAATGATCTGAGATGGAATTAAACAGTGACTATCAAATGCTCAGGGAAAGAGGACTGTGAAAGGGAATGTAGATGCATGGGAAGACGAATACGAATAGCAACTGCTACACCTCCCTGGGCCTGACCCAAAGGATGATCATAATGATGAAAAGCATACCCTAACAAATGGATCTTTTGAGTGGGCTTCAGAAATGTTTCATTAAAGAGAATACAATCTTGTGATTGTCTATCCAACAAGATGTCCAGAACTGGAAGGTTATGAAGGAAAGAGTGAATATCATAAAATAAAAATCTCAACATGCAGTGTCATTGGGATCCCATAGATGACGAAACAGAAAGCGTGAGTTAAGGCTGGAATAGGTGGTCTGCATGTGAAGGCGAAAGATGGTCTTGGCAGCATGGACGATATTATTTAGGTCAAAGGTATGCTCAAATGGGAGGAAAGTCTGGAGTACTAGTGTGACAAAGCAGATAATATCCTCCATGGTAAGTGACATAGCTATGAAATTGGCATGAGAGGTAATGGCATCGTGGAATGTACTGGAGCAACAGTTGCAGGATCGTCGTTGGGGTAGGCTTACCCTGGTACTTGGAGGAGTAAGTGGGATCAAGATAGCAGGTGTTGTAGAGGGGAGGAGAGCTTAATTGAGAGCACTGGCAGAGAAGATCCATCTTGGTACACAGGACATCATATAATTTAGGGTTACCAATTTTTATAATTATGTCATTGCATGTAGGTACTATTTGTTGGATTTCAGATCAAAGGCAATATTTAGAAAGTTTATTGAAGATGGTTATGGTGGAGAAAAACAGGGGATCATACCAGAAAGTAGTAGCACAGTAGTGTGAGGAGCGCCATTAGTATCCATAGGTCTAGACAAATCACCAGAAATGGCAGATCGAGTGGAGACAGGAGTCGACTGAGGAACAGTGGTAAAGGTAGAACCAAAAGGCGAAGGTGAAGTAATACCAGTCAGCCCAGGAAGGAGAAAACCACTGGTCAAAGACTTCCGAGGAACATCCTCTGTAGGTCGGGAATACGGTTTTGGGCAAACGCGCCGAGGTGACTGACCCGGTGGATCCGGCATAGCTGGGTGCTCAATAACAGGAGACAACTCAGAATGCATGAGAGCAAAAAAGTTACACAAGTAAAATAAGTAAAATTCAGATAAGCAATAATTATGAAGAATCACTCACCAAAAGCAATCCGCAATACCGCACACGCACAACAAAGCAATCCAAAGAACTGGCTGTTGTCTCCAACTTGAAGGAAAGAAGACCGATATATGATGTATTGTTTTGATAATTAAGAAAGTGGTGTTTTTAAACTCAAACATCAATAACATGTACACAGATCTGTCAGTTGTATAAATACTTGATATCCTTGAATATTAATTTAGATTATTATATTTTTATTGAAATTATTTTGCTAGATATGGTGTTTGTTTATGAAAAGTCGCAAACACTCGTTATATAAGAACAGAAATAAAACTGTTATCTATGAAACATGGAAATATTATATGTCCCTAAACTGAACTTACTGCTAAATAATAATAGTTTTCCTTTTTATTATTTCCTTACAAAAATACGTGTGGTAGAATAATAGATACCCCAACATTTTCAAATGCTTTAAGGTGATGATTAGTTTCATTAATAAAAAAAATGAAGTGAAAGATGGCTGAGAACATTTATTTACAAATTTAGAGAATGTATATAATCATGTAATTAAAATGTCACAGCTTCATGCTCAGAGTTACAGTTTTATTTTGACAGGTTAACTTTTAGAATACAACTCTCACGATCTTAATTTGCTTTTCGTAGCAGTTCTTATATTCGTCTAAACGTTTCACTGTAAAAAATAGGAAAAAAACATTGACAATAAACAATAACGAACTGTCTCAACAGCACGACTCACTTCCCAAATACACTTGTATTTTTGTATTATTTCATACTGGGGGATCAGTTTTGTATAAAAACAACCAGAAAGTTGTCTTGGAAATCCTGTAAGTTGATACTAAGCCTAAACAAAACACATTTTCCTCTGTTACTTTAAATGTTTCGAATAAACTCAAGACAAACAAATAAATATAGGGACGACCCCTAATGGAGCGTCTAGTTCACAAACAACAAGTTTACTCCATAATTTTTCCTACATATTATCTAAATTTGAACTTCAAATGCTGTATTACTATTCTTTCAGATAAGTTTCATTTGACTGTTTTTATGTTGTTTTTTTATCTTTATTATTTCGCAATTCACTTTAAAAAGATTTAATTCAAAAACAAAAAATAATAAAACCAATGTTCTGTGGATATATGTAGTATGTGGAGAAAAAATTAAGAAAAAATACTTGGAAGTTCAGTTATCTCTCAATAGATGGAGAAACAAATAACAAGGCAAAATACTTGGAAGTTCAGTTATCTCTCAATAGATGGGGAAAATTAAGAAAATAATACTTGGAAGTTCAGTTATCTCTCAATAGATGGAGAAAAATACTTGGAAGTTCAGTTATCTCTCAATAGATGGAGAAAAAATTAGAAAAAATACTTGGAAGTTCAGTTATCTATCAATAGATGGAGAAAAAATTAAGAACAAATACTTAGAAGTTTACTTATCTCTCAATAGATGGAGAAAAAATAATAAGGAAAAATACTTGGAAGTTCAGTTATCTCTCAATAGATGGAAAAAAAATTAAGAAAAAATACTTGGAAGTTCAGTTATCTATCAGTAGATGGAGAAAAATTTAAGAACAAATACTTTGAAGTTTAGTTATTTCTCAATAGATGGAGAAAAAATAATAAGGAAATATACTTGGAAGTTCAGTTATCTCTCAATAGATTGAGGAAACAATTGAGAAAAAAAATACTTGGAAGTTCACTTATCTCAATAGATGGAAAAAATTATGAAAAAATACTTCAAAGTTATGTTATCTCACAATCGATGGGAAACTATT